CCAATTCCGATACCGATATCATAAATTTGGATACCTGCTGATACCGATACGAATCCGATATAGTTTATTTTTTAATCAATAAAACAGTTTTTTTAATATCTTGCTGCATTTTGTATAGGTTCATACTCACGTTTTAAAAACAAAACACTAAAGCTATTCTGTTATACCTGTATGCAAAAAACACACTGCACACAAAATATTTCATAGTTCAGCAATACTGAGCTAATAAACTTAAACCTACACCATCCTCCCTATTCTGGTATTTTAAAGAGTACTTAGCAGAAATATTAAACAACCTAACTAATAGGGTTGCAAACTCCCGGCAAAAAAAATAAAATAAAATAGGGAACTACCCCCCACCCTCTGCCTCGTGATGCATATTTGACGTAATCAACCTTAATTTAATGCACGTGTAAAAAAAAATGCACAGAAATCAATTATTTTTCTACAATAATTAAATAGATTCAGCATCTTTCTTCAACAGAATTGCAGACTGCACAGATGGAAAAGGTACTATAGCTTACTAGGGTATATATTAGACTTAATAGTTACTATATACAGTAATGGACTTCTATACATTTTACCTCTGATTAAAACTTTGGTTGTAAGATTCAGATAATTGTTTATTAATAGCTAGACATTTTTAATGAGAATAAGAAAGAAACATATTCTTTGAGCCCCCCTTTTCCCTGTTAATGCCCTACCTGCCCCCCTGGCAAAACCTTGCTAGACCCGCCCCTGCACAGTTACCAGCCGTCAGCTGCTTAGAAAAGGACCCTGGTGTAGAAAGTAATCTTAAATAAATTCTAAGAACAGCTTATCAAGCTTAAACGTGCTGCTGTTGTTCAGCCGCTGGTTTCCTCTTTCTGATGCAAAGTGGGCGATAAATAAACAAGAGAAACGGGGTTCGCAACAGAAAAGCCGATCAGCTGATCATTGATCAGTTTCATGATTGAAGTAGTAACAGGAGAGGGAGGGAGGGAGAGAGAAGAGGCAGTCGCTCCATATAGCGGTTGTTAAGCTTAAAGTGGGAATGCTTTAAAAACATCCAGAGATGAACTTACACACTTGCTTTAATTCTCTCTGGGATAACTTTCTCGGAGATGAAATGCCGGTTTGGTAGCGAGGATCCAAATGCTGACCGCCAACAAGTCTTGCACGCCACAGCCGCTCTATCACGTGACGCATACTGCTCCGACGCGCTACGGTTATGAGCTGAGTTACGCCATGTTGCAAGTTTTGTGAAGTGCTTTTGTGATATTTAATGGATCGGATTACATTTTTTATTTCTCTCCAATATCCGATCCAGTAATTTAGGTCAGTATCGGACTGATACCGTAATATCGGATCGGTCCATCCCTAAACTCAACCTCAGCCACACCAGATAACATGCCCTCAGCATCATCCAAATCAATAGCACCAGTCAGCACAAGCCCATTGGCACTCAGTACAACCTCACTACAAGTCAACATGACTTGAACAGCAGTTAACCCAGTTACACCAATTAATGTGACCATAGTACCATTAGCACCAAAGGCACCATTCAACATGACCTTACCAGTAGTCTCTACAACCTCACCACAAGTCAACACACCTTTAACACCACTTAACCTGACCTCACCAAATCACCTCACTATAATGCTCACCAACAGCACCAGTCAGCATGCTCTCACCCCACTCAGCACAACTTCACTACAGGTAAACATGATTTCAACACCACTTATCCCAAACTCATTTGCAGTCAGCATAAACTCATCAACACTCAGTCTAACCACACAAGTAAAGAGGAGCCTCACCTTTAACCTCTATCGCCAGGAAAATCAGTGTCTGCTAAATCAATCCATGACTATGAGGAAACATGTTTTTCTTTAATAAAATACAGTATGTACCAGTTTATAATAAAAGTGAATGTCCTATCTGTGGCATGTTCATTAAATTCTTTAATTCTCCATTTGTAAAATTAATATATTGTAACTGACATTTGTTCCAACTATATCTATCGCCTCAGCTACTGCCAATGGCACGAATGCTTCCTCAAATGCAGCGACAACTCTGGGCTCCAATACAACTGCAGCCACAACAGTGGGTTCCAATACAACTGGAGCTCCAAGTGTGGTTTTCAATGCAACTGCAGCCACAACAGTTGGTTCCAATACAACTACAGCTCCAAGTGTGGTTTTCAATGCAACTGCAGCCACAACAGTTGGTTCTAATACAACTACAGCTCCAAGTGTGATTTTCAATACAACTGCAGCTCCAACAGCTGGTTCCAATACAACTACAGCTCCAAGTGTGGTTTTCAATGCAACTGCAGCCACAACAGTTGGTTCTAATACAACTACAGCTCCAAGTGTGGTTTTCAACACAACTGCACCTCCAACTGTGGGTTCCAATACAACTACAGCTCCAAGTGTGGTTTTCAATGCAACTGCAGCCACAACAGTGGTTTCGAATACAACTGCAGCTCCAACTGTGTCTCCAA